TAACAAAATTATAAGCACAAGCTTTGTGATCAGATAAAACCAAGGGTGGAGTCCAGCTCTGCTATCTACCAGCTGTCTGAACCAACCAAGGTGGGAGGAGTCTGGGGAAGAGCTAGGACCCAATGAGAAATTGTCAAGGTGTGGTTATCATTCTGCTCTATTCTCTATTGGCTTTATGTCTAAATAGAAAACTGTGCATTAAAACTGAAAACCTTATGCCTGGCCAGTATGGATATGTGGTTGGGCATTGACCCATGAACCAGATTACAGTTCCATTCCCTGTCAGGCTACATGCCCAGGTTGTTCCTCGATCCCCAGTAGGGGGCATGCAGGAGGCAGCCGATCACTGATTCTTTCTCATCAGTGATGTTTCTATCTCTTCCTCTCTTAAATCAATAAAAATATTTTTAAACTGCAAGATCTGCGTAGTCATTTGAATTACCATTCAGCAAATAAATATGCGATCCCCTCCACCTCCCACTGTAGATGGCGTGTCTCCCTGCCCTTTGGCGTTTATCTTGGCCGTGTCTTGCTTTAGTCAATGACACATTTGAAAATATAGCAAAAGCAGAAGCTTGAAATATGCCAGCATGATTGTGCTTGCCTTTTTGCATGTCTTTTTTCCACCAGGAATGTGACTCAGGTAGCCACTGATCCAAGGAGAATGTGTGAGATACTTGCAACAGACCTGGATCAAATCTGCAACTTGAAGTCAAATCTAGCTGAGCCCACTAATATCAACACAAGTCCAGCCAGACTGCAGGCACATGAGTGAGAAAAATAAAACAAAACATATATATATATATATATATATATATATATATATATATATATATATATATATATATATATATCTGTGTGCACTGAGTTTGGGGTAGATTATGCAGCATTATTATAAAAACAAACTATATCTCCAAAAACTCTGTAAGACATAGGAGCACAAGTTTCCCTGCTTTTGGATCTTTTTAACAAAGTGGTTATCAACCAGGGGAGATGTGCTCCCAGGTGAACATCTGGCAATGTCTAGACACAATTTGGTTGTCTTACGTTGGGGAGGCACGTTACTGACATCTGGTAGGCAGAGGCCAGGGATGCTGCTAAACATGCTCCAATGGACAGGATGCCCCCACAACAAAGAATTTATCTGGTCAAAATGTCAATATTCCTGAGATTGAGAAATTTTATCCTATATAATAAAAGGATAATATGCAAATTGACCCTATCAGTGGAACATCTGAGAATGATTAATCGCTATGACATGCACTGACCACCAGGGGGTAGACGCTCAACACAGGAGCTGATCTGTGGTGGTCAGTGCACTTCCACAGGGGAGCAGACCTAAGCCATTAGTCGGACATCCCCCAAGGGGTTCCAGACTTCGAGATGGCACAGGCTGGGCTGAGGGACACCCTGAGTGCATGAATTTTCGTTCACTAGGCCTCTAGTCTATATATATAAAAGGATAAGGGTCCGTCCAACTAGTAGCTATGACATACACTGACCACCAGGGGCAGGCGCTCATTGTAGGAAGTGGCATGATGCACACTGGCCATTTAAAAATAAACAGCACCGTGGGCCTGGTGCCCACAAACCAACACTCAGCTTCCCCCAGAGTGACTCCCCATCAAATCACAGAGAATGCTGCCAAGACCCCATGGTGCAAAATGCAGCCCATAGCCCAGCATAGCCTGGAAACGGTTACAGTGGGCACCAGGTAATGTCATGTAGCAACACCTGCTTCCTCTCCCTGGTGACTAGCCTCCTTGGAGTTTCTTCAGCCCAGGAACACAGGTAGAAACATTGTAAACTTTAACCAAGTGTCTGTGAAGCGTTTTCCCACGCCTCATCTCATTTGATCCTCACAGAAGTCCTGGAGTAGGTAGATAGGAGACTCGGTGGAATCCCATTTTCTTTTCATTAGCAGGAAAACTGAGATTTAGAAAGTTAGAAACTTGCCGAAACCGGTTTGGCTCAGTGGTAGAGCGTCGATCTGCGGACTGAAAGGTCCCGGGTTCAATTCCGGTCAAGGGGCATGTACGTTGGTTGTGGGCACATCCCCAGTAGGGGGTGTGCAAGAGGCAGCTGGTCAATGTTTCTCTCTCATCGACGTTTCTAGCTCTCTATCCCTCTCCCTTCGTCTCTGTAAGAAAAATCAACAAAATATTTTTTTTTAAAAAGCAAGTTAGAAACTTGACCTAACTGAAAAGAAGTAAGAAATAGTGGAACTTGAAAATAACTTCAGGTTTTCTCACTGCACAGAACACAGTCAAACACTGCTGCAGTAAAATATTTTACCCTTTGTTCTCCCTGCGTGATCCACAATAATAATCTGCTGTGTTGCTGACAATTACCTAAAAGAGAAGTTGGGGTGCTTCACTGGTCTAGAAAGAGTTTAGCTAAGTCAGAAAGCAGGTCTAATTAAGCAAGTTTTTCTATCCTGTCTAATAAAAGCATAATATGCTAATTAGACCAGACATCCTTCCGGAGGATCTTTAGTATGAAGCTAGGGCTGCAAGGGAAGCCTGGGTCCTGGGTGTCAGAGGGAAGCTGGTGCTGGCAGCCGGGGGAAGGAAGGCCTGCTCTTACATGAATTCCGTGCATTGAGCCTCTATTATATATATAAAAGGCTAAGTTGGCATATAAAGTTCTCCCTGGGGCCAGTTGCACACGTGTGTTTCCATCTGCCATTGTCCATCGTGAATTTGGTTGATACTTCTATTATAGAGAAAGGGTGAATAGCAATATTAAAATATTTCTTCTAATTAATTTCCTTTCAATGTGTATGAATCAGTGCACTGGGACACTAGTCCTAATATAATATGAAATAGAGGAGGATGACCTGTTCTTTCCCATTTTGCTACATATCACTGCTCACCCATGAAGATGCTTATGCATTTGTGGCAACATTGATTGGCTGATTAGTTACCTCAATGTGTATATATTGAGTGCTGCCACCATTCTAAGTGCCAAGGATCCAGTTCTGGATTAAATGAAAAATTTCCTGCCTGGCCAGTGTTGCTCAATGGTTGACCATTAACATATGAACTAGAAAATCACAGTTCCATTCCTGGTCAGGGCATATCCCTGGGTTGCAGGCTCAATCCCCAATAGGAAACATGCAGGAAACAGCCAATCAGTGATTTTTTTTTTCCTCATCATTAATGTTTCTCTCTCTCCTTCTCTCTTCCTCTCTCTGAAGTCAATAAAACATATTTTAAAAAATAACCCCAGAGAGTAACTTAGTGAGCAGGTAGGTACAGGTTAACACAGAACTGAAATTACATTTGTTACTGTATCTCGTCAGTATCCACAAACAACTGGTTAATCCTAATGAAATGTAGGGAAACATTTGTAACCAGAGAAAGAAAGCTTTTCAGCACTTTTGTTTTTCTTACTCAAAATCTTGTGCTTTCTTAAAAGGCTACCTCTCCAGGCTCCTGGCAGGTGCTTGCTGGGAAGAGACCAGTTAAAGAGCAGAGCACTGCCTCCTGTTACTCCGGCAATAATCCCACCACCTGACCACACTTCCTCCTCTGCTGTCCCAAGATGTGGGAAAGCTAGGAGTCATTTAGGGTCTCTGGACCAGAAGGGTCTCCCCGAGGACCATACAACATGTTCGTTATGTGCTGTGTCTCTAGGGGGCTTCTTGGCCCTCCATGTTTATTTGTTTAGAAACCAGTGTGGTCTGACAGACCTAAGTAAGTCATTCCTGAACTGTAACTGCTTTTAAATAATCTGTAAGACTCCTAGGGACAAGAATTGTGCCCATTTTGTTCATAACTGCATCTTCCCCTCCTAGCATGAGTGTCTGGCACATAGTAAGCACTCCACATAATATATTAGGTGAATAAATGAAGCATCATGAAAATAAAGTTTCACAGGCTTAGAAAAATTAAACAGATGACACAAAGCAAAATATAAAGCAGCTGGACACATCTGTTATTTTATTTTTAAAATATATTTTATTGATTTTTTTTACAGAGAGGAAAAGAGAGGGAGAGTTAGAAACATCGATGAGAAACATCGATCAGCTACCTCCTGCACACCCCCCACTGGGGATGTGCCCGAAACCACAGTACATGCCCTTGACCAGAATCGAACCTGGGACCCTTCATTCCACAGGCCAGCACTCTATCCACTGAGCCAAACCAGTTTCGGCCACATCTGTTATTTTAAACAAAGGTCTGTATTTAGAGGCATATACTTCCAAGAGAAAAATAACAGGTAACAGTCATTCTTCCAGCCAGTTCATGTTTTTTTTGAGCCTCTTCCTTGTGTCATGCACTGTGCTAGCTGGAGACAGGAACAAAACAAACAAACAAACAAAAAAATAATATCCGTTCTGGAAAGCAGAGGCCCAGAGTACAGAGTAAAGAGAGGAAGAGCTAGAGCAGTGGTCGGCAAACTCATTTGTCAACAGAGCCAAATATCAACAGTACAATGATTGAAATTTCTTTTGAGAGCCGAAAACTGACTTCTGCACATGGGCCATGAAGTTTCAATCGCACTGTACATGCACGTCTGCACGTGGTATTTTGTGGAAGAGCCACACTCAAGGGGCCAAAGAGCCACAAGTGGCTCACGAGCCGCAGTGTGCCGACCACTGGTCTAGAGCAGAGCTTATCTGTGTACTGCAGAGAAAGAGAGGGTCAAGGAAACCCAGGAATGCTTCCCAGAATTGCTGAATTTAAGGTGACTTTAAAAAAAAATCCCAATATCTCCAAACAGAAGATTTAGAGCTCAAATTTCACAGCCAACTACTTTTAGCTAAACTGATGATTCTAAGTTGGGGCCGAATTTTGCCTCCCAGGGGACACCGGTCCATGATTGTCAGGGCTGAGTGTGCCACTGGAATCTATTAAGTAGAGAACTCAAATGTTGTCGAACATAAGGCACAGGAGAGGCCCCTGCAACCAAACGTCCGTCTGAAATATTAACAGGCCAAGACAGAGAATGAGGGGAGAATTAGGAAGTACCATGCAAGTAAAAACACAAATACATCATTTACTCAAAGTTTCTCTAATTCAATTAATGTGACTATAGAAATCATTTAATTAGCTGCTTCAAATGTAAGTCAATTAAGCACAAATAATAAATCAATTAAATTTTTTGTGATAAATGTGAGTAGAGTGCTTAAATATCATAATATATACAATTCAAATATTTATATTCATCCATCATGTCTAGCATTGCTTGACTAGAATTAGAACATGGCTTGATTAGAATCCCAAAATTAAGAATGCTATAATTTTATACTTAAAAAGAAATCGCGGGTTCTTTCATAGCTTTCGGTTTCTAGGATGGGAAAGGCTTAGCCAATTCCTTCTGAGTTTAAAATTACATTACACAGTCATATGTTCAGCATCTTTTAGCAGGCTACGTTTGCTCCCTCTGGGAAGTTTATGTTTTGTAAAAGGAGTTTTATGCAGAATACAAATTGGGGGTATTACATGAGTATCTCTTGAGGACATTGAGTTGTGCAAACAGCATCACTTTATCTGACGTAGTAGCTCTGGATTGGTCTGCCAGTTCACCCTGGAGTTGTCTGGAATTACAGATCAGGGACAAGGCTGTCATACCCCAGCTGCTGCAGAAAGCTACTGGAAGAAAAGGAGATTTATGAGTATTTTGGTTATACTGAACCAAGGGTACGGAAGCTATGCAACAGAGAGCCTGGTGGCTCTAAATTGTAGGCATTATGCAAAAGGAAAATGCAGGTGTGGGTGTTGAGGGAGTCCTCCCGGAGCAATGAGACATCTTTGCAAACTCTCTAAAGAATAAAGTTAACAGTTATTAAAGAACACCACCCTGCTGCTGCCAGCGCTGAACTTCCTGTCACAGGAAGAGATGCAGGGGATTTTCAGGAAAACATCTGTCATTTAACAGTGACAGTGACCTCGGTGCTGACGAGCCATTCAAATCCCAGCAGAGGGGATTTCTGTTACTCTTTGTCGGGCTAAGAGCTCTAACATGAGCAGGTTATTTCTATCCTTGTCAGCTGAGGATCTCCGATGCCAAAGGAAAAAATTATTGGGAATAACTATAATTGGTTCTGTGAGGTGAGACACTTGTGACTTATTTCCTTTTGATTATCAGCTCGCGATTTTGTTCATTTTGACCAAAATCCTGGGCAAACTTTATAGAGTAATAAGTAGCTATATTGTAATCTACTAATCAAGTTATGAAAGATCAAAAATGAATTTGAAAAAAAAAAAACACTAAATTTCTGTGTTAATTTCACATAAGGATTTCCCAAGCTAATACTTCCTTTGCTCTTTATTGCTAATTAAAGATAAATACATTAGCTGTGATACGTAGGTAACAGTAGGAATACTGAAACAATTCTGAGAGCCAAATAAGCATTCCGGGCAGTGCTAAGGTTTCCTCAGACTCATTTAATTTTTGTAGCAGTGAGCAAGGACAGTAACACAATCTTCATTTTGTAGATGAAAAAACAGGCTTTTCTTCACTTAAACGTTTTCCACAAGAGGGTCAAAACTAGAAAATGCTACATCTGGGATAGGGATAGGGAACAGCAGGGGAGCAAGATCTGCTGCCACAAGGAGTTAGATTTTTGTGTCAGACACACAAATATTCAAATTCATCACTTGAAAAAGGTGTTAATACTGTGAGTTGATGGTCAGCTCTACTAAGCTCTATACCCGTGTCCCACTCCTGACTTGCTATCACCATCTCACTGTCCCACAGGCAATACCATCTCCACATGCCCCCAGATAGATTCACCACCTTCACCAAAACTGGCTCCTCTGCTGTTTCTCCCACTCAAGGATCAGTACCAGCACCCACCTGGCAGCAAAGAAATGTGGTCTGGGAGGAAATCCAAAAAACTGTTAGCAGTGCTAGTATCTGGTGGTGGGATTCTAGGTGTTTTTTCATTTCATTCTTTATCCTATATTTTTCAGATCCTTCTTAAATATTTTTAAACATGATGCATGATTATATCCTTATTGTTTAAAAGACAAAAATCAGAAAGATTAAAAACTCACCATTTTCCAGTTCACCCTGGAGTTATCTGGAGGCCATTTCCGTCCTCACATGTAAACACTAAGTCTCCTTTCAGACTTTTTATTTTGTACTAGTGGCCTCGTGCATGGATTCGTGCACATTGAAAGACAATTCATTAGAAGGTGGCCGGTAGGGCAGGACTGGACAAGATGGGCTGGACATGCCCTGGAGGCAACCTCCTGCGGTCCCTCCCTGGCCAACTGGACCTGGACAGTGCCGGGGCTCAAAGGTCCTCTGCAGAGTGAGCAGGGTCCCTCCAGCAGGTGGGGTCCCTCCAGCAGGTGGGGTCCCTCCAGCAGGTGGGGTCCCTCAGCCTGGCTGTGGGGATCAGGCAGAAACCAGTAGTCTGAAATCCCCCAAGGAGTTGGGAGTGCGAGGGTGCACTCTACAAAGTTGCCATCACTCAGCAGCTCCTGCATTGAGCATCTGCCCCCTAGTGATCAGTGTGTGCCATACCTACTGACCACTTAGCCTTTTATATATACTAGTATACTTAAGTATATGGGGTGTGCAAAGTAGGTTTGCAATTGTAATACAAAAAAATAATACAATAATTAATACAAGAATAAAGTGTTTTGCATACTCATAACTATAAAGTTACTCAGCATTTATCTTATGTATTTCTATGCAAACAGTTTGGAATTTATATAGCTACATATACATATATAATTTTCCTAAGTAAAACTTTTTAAAAACGTACATTCTACTGTAAGTAGCCTTTTTCCTCTTCACAATATAATCTTGGGACATTTTCATGTCAAACCATAGTGATCTCTCTCATTCTCCCTAATAGCTAAAGTATTCAATTGTTAGGACTATACATAATTTATTCCCCTTACGGCTGAATATTTAGTCTGTCTCTAATTTCTCATTATTACAAATAATGCTGGGAAGACCGTTCTTATAGATACACCCTGCCTTGGCAATTCTTGGACACTTTCTGCCTGCCCCCACATTTTACTATATTTGGGTTGGAATGCATCTTACAATTGATGACACCTTACCATTGCTGTTGGCCATGGGGTATTTGTTGTGTAAAAATATTTTGATGAAACAATTGTTCAACCATTCACCATCTGATAGAGGGCCTATTTTCCTCACCAAAAGTGGGTATTATAAATCTCTGAATATTCATCAATGTAATAATTGATATGCTGAAGTTCCTTATTAACAAACTTTCGTGTCATATATACATACTGCAAATGTCTCCTCCCCTCAGCTTTGCTCAGGGTCTTTCACCCTGCAGTCGTTTCATGTTCCAAATGTATCGCTGTTTTTCCTTAGGTCTGATTTCTGGGGTTTATAACTTTTAAAAAATATATTTTTATTGATTTCAGAGAGGGGGAGAAAGATATAAACACCAATGATGAGAGAATCATTGATCCATTGCTTCCTCTAAGCCTCCTACCAGGAACCAAGCCCACAACCTAGGCATGCCTGATCGGGAATCAAACCATGACCTCTGCTTCATAGGTTGATGCTCAACCACTGAGCCACGCCTTGGATTTATACAATATCTTGCTTAGGAAAACCTGCACCCCAAAATTATGGTTTTCCTACATTTTAGCACTTATGTACTTTTTGGTTTTCTTAACCGTTCTCTTTAATCTACTGAAATGTATTTTTGTGTATAGTATGACATAGGCAGGTACCCCCAGTATGGCTATTCTGAATCCAATTCATTCACAAGCTACTTCTTTACTCATCATTTAAAACTGTATTTTTGGGATCAATCCAAGATGGCTGCACAGGTAAATACCTAGCCACAGCCGCACACAACAATTTCAATAAAGTACAACTAAAATATAAAATGGACACTACCCAGAACTACAGGAAAGTCGACTGACTGGAAATTCTACAACGAGAAGCAAGGAGAAAACCAGAAGGAAGCACAGAGGAGCTGTAAAAGCCAAAGGTACGAAGACACGGGGCGCGTGCGGAGAGGACGGAGCCAGAGAGGAGGCGCGACTGAGTGCCTGGCTGGCATTCCCTAGTGGGAAGGAGATAAAAGCTCCAACTGTGCTGGGCCCCAGTTCCGACTACTCTGAACCCCAATTCTAGGCCAGACCCCAGGGACCCAGGCTCATCCATAGGGAGCTGGGCTGTAAGGCGGAGCCCCGGGGGAGCAGCGAAAGGAGGTCCCTGTGGCGCGCACATTGCGTGCAGAGAAAGGACGGTTGGCTGTGCCGTGGGATTGGCCTGGCGGGAAGGAGACAGGGGCTCCAGACTGCTCTGAACGCCACCTCCAATCCCACTTCCAACTGAACTGAACCCCAGTTCCGGGCTCTTTGGGGGACAGCCTAGACTGTTTGGTAGGAGGCAAAAATCGAGGGCACCTTTCTCTCAGAGGCGCTTGCAGCAAGTACTGAAGGACCCAGAGACCCAGGAACCACATAGGGTGGGGCTGACGGAAGCCAAGGCTGTAGGCTCCACCCTGAAACTCCACCCCATCAGGGAAGCTGCGAAAATGTGACAACGAAATAGATCACAAACGAAAGAAATGGAGGACAAAAAGCGACTGGATATAGAGTTCAAATCTAAGCTTATAAGGTTTTTCAAGAATTTCCTAGAAAACATCGTTAAGTCCTATGAGGATATGAAAAGGGATCAACTAGAATTAATAAGGAATCAACGAGAAATAATAAGGGATCAACAAGAAATAAAGAATACATTGTCTGAAATAAAAAATATTATACAGAGTCCTAAAAACAGAATGGAAGATCGCAAGAATCAAGTCAAAGATTTGGAACATAAAGAGCCAGAAGACACTCCTCCGCAGAAGCAAGAAGACAAGAGAATCCAGAAAATTGAAGATAATGTAAGAAACCTCTGGGACAACTTCAAGCGAACAAACATCAGAATTATGGGGGTCCCAGAAGATGAGAGAGAGCAAGATATCGAAAACATACTAAAAGAAATAGCGACAGAAAACTTCCCCCACCTGGTGAAAGAATTAGACTTACAAGTCCAGAAAGCGCACAGAACTCCAAACAAAAGGAATCCAAAGAGGACCACGCCAAGACAAATCATAATTAAAATTCCAAGAGCAAAAGACAAAGAGAGAATATTAAAAGCAGTAAGAGCAAAGCAGGTAGTTACCTATAAAGGAGCACCCATACAATTGTCAGCTGATTTCTCAACAGAAACCATGCAGGCCAGACGGGAATGGCAAGAAATATTCAAGGTGATGAATAGTAAGAACCTACAGCCAAAGATAATCTACCCAGCAAAGCTATCACTCAGAATCAAAGGCCAGATAAAGAGCTTCACTAATAAAAAAAAGCTAAAGGAGTTCATCACCGCCAAACCAGAATTATATGAATTGCTGAAGGGGGCTCTTTCGGAAGAGAAAGTAAATAAAGATAAAAATTATGAACAACAAATACGTAACTATCAACAAGTGAATCTAAAAAACAAGGAAATTAAAAAAAATCTGATGAACAATATTAACTGGTGAATATAATAGAATCAGAGGTATGGAAGGGGAGTGAACTGACAATTCTTGGGGAAAAGGGGAGAGGGGGATGTGGGAAGAGACTGAACATAAACTGTGCACCTATGGATGAGGACAATGGGGGGTGGGGAAAGGGCAGAGGGTGGGATGGGAACCTGGTGGAGGAGAGCAATGGAGAGGGGGGGGAGGAGGAACATTTGTAATAATATGAACAATAAAAATTTATTTTAAAAAAATAAAATAAAAACATACATTTTCCAATATCAAAATAAATAAAAATAAAACTGTATGTTTATTATATACCATAAATATACATATATATATTAGTCTTTTCCTTTAATCTGTTTGATTTTTTTCTTTGATGCAGTATTGTAGTTTTGTTTCTAGTAAGAAATATAGTCAAATTTCCCTCATTGTATTTTTAGTTTTTCTTGATTACTTCGCATATGAATTTTTGAGTCATTTGAATGGCATAGCCTATCTAATAAGAGTAATATGCAAATTGACCATCACTCCAACACACAAGATGGCTGCCCCTATGTGGACATAAAATGGCCACCACAATAGCCAGCAGGAGAGAGCATTGGGAGGGACCAGGTGGGGAGTTGAGGGCGATTAAGCCTACAGGGGAGGGCAGTTAGGGGTGACCAGGCTAGCAGATGAGGAAAGTTGGGGGTGAGCGGGCCTGCAGGGAAGGGTAATGAGGGGAGTGGGGAGACCTAGGCCTGCAGGGGAGAGCAGTTGGAGGGGGAAACAAGCATGCAGGGGAGGACAGTTAGGGGCAATCTGGCTAGCAGGGGAGCAGTAGTCATCAATCAGACTGGCAGGGGAGTGGTTAGGGGGTGATCAGGCTGGCATGCAGAAGCGGTTAGGGGCAATCAGGAAGGAAGACAGGCGAGCAGTTAGGAGCCAGCAGTCTTGGATTGTGAGAGGGATGTTTGACTGCCAGTTTACATCCCTCTCACAGGCAGTTTACATCCCTAAATGGGCAGTCGGACATCCCTCGAGGGGTCCCAGATTGGCAAGGGTGCAGGCTGGGCTGAGGGACACACTCCTGTGCACAAATTTCATGCACCAGGCCTCTAATATAGCTAATAGTATCCTAATGTCCATTTCCCCCTTTCCTTTAATAAGACCCCTGCTTTTTATCTGGAAACATGGGCATATAGAATAAATATTGTACAAATCCCAGCCGTCTTGGCAGGAATGTTCATGTTTTAAGCAATGGGATTAACATAGACGTAGGTACAATCTCGGGGAACTGTTCTCAAAGTTAAGGTATGTGACTGTTATTCACTTCCTGTCCATTGACCAGAATAGACAGGCTCACTGGAGATCAGAGGTTTGAAAGCCAGAAGCATCCGTTTCTGAAACCTGGAAGGGCACCACCAGCCCTATATTGCCCTCCTGAGTTTTTATGAGACACTTCAATCTTATGAAGCTACTATTAGTTTTAACTTGCTCTCACAACCAACATTAATTCTAAGTAACAAAATCCCATTGGAATTGAATTTATAAATTCACTTCAAGGTAATGGATGTCTGGACAAAACTGAGTTTTTACAAACAGGAACACAGGATATTTTAGCTATTTATTCAGGTGTTTTATACCCATCATAAAAATGTTGTTTCATAGGGATCTGTGCTGCAAACAAATATGTTAAATTCCTAAACAAAAATACCTCTTATCACTGCACTGCTAATAGTTTTCCAATTGATTCTGTACTGTCTCCACAATCATACCGCCTGAAACAATGGCCGTGTTGCCTCTCCATAATATTTCAATTTCTTTGGGATAAGTGACTGTTGTATAGCCAATAGGCTTTCTCTGAGTTGAATGTGGACATTTGCTGAACATTTTTGATAGATATCCTTAGCCAAGTGAAGTTTCTATTCCTAGTCTGACAAAATTTAAATCTGGAATGTGTTAAATTTTAGAAAATGTTTTTCAAGCATCTATCCAGATTATGTTTTTCTAATTTAAAAAGTTATAGTAATAGATTTCCAACTGTACCGAGTTACATTACGTTGTGTTAAGAAAACCCTCCTTTGTCATGACAATTTTGTTGGATTTAGTTTGCTCTTTCTTCAGTGATTTACATTTGTTCCTGAGATACGTCTGTAGTTATCTTTGATGGACAATATTTTAAAATAAGGGGAATGCTAGCATCAGAGAACAAATTGAGAGGTATTTCAGGTTTCTGTATAACTTGGAATAGCTTAACTAAAATAATCTCTCAAAATTTCATAAACTTTTGTTTAAACACAAGCATTCTAAGAAAATGTTTTCTTTTATATAGCTGATTAGAGTTGTATTGATGTATTGCTACCCACCTGTTAATTTCTAGCTTATTGGTAACTGGATGCAGTCTGAATGGTTTCTTTGTGGTCTACATCATGGTCATTTTCAGATTTGAAAAGAAATACTGTATTAAAGTTTGTTAATTGTATGATTCAAAACAAGTGTCCTCAATTTTGAACTCTTCATCTGATCATTTCTGAAAGAGCTATATTTAAATACTTAGTTCTGATTACAAATCTGTGC